TTGACTTAGTCATGATAAAAAACACCCACAAGAACCCCAAAGGCTGCTAATACAGAACACTGCTTATTGATAACTAGAGGCCTGGTACACGAAATTCATGCACGGGGGCGGGGGGAACCTCAGCCCTGCCTGTGCCCTCTCGAAGTCGGGGAGCCCTCAGGGGATGTCCAACTGTCATGAAGGCGGAAGAGGCTCCCATCATCGCTGCTGCGCTCACCAGCTGTGAGCCCGGCTTCTGGCTGAGTAGTGCTCCCCCCTGTGGGAGCACACTGACCACCAGGGGGAGCTCCTGCATTGAGAGTCTGCCACCTGTTGGTCAGTTTGCATCATGGCAGCCGTTTGTTCCGCTGTTCAGTTGATTTGCATATTAGCCTTTTATTATATAGGATAACACTGCCAGGCATCTATTAGGCACTTTAAATAGATTTCCTCATTTAATCCACAAAACCACACTGTGAGGTAAGTTGCAATCTGTGTAGACTGTGGAATGTCCACTAAAACAGTGGTCGCTAACCAGTGGTCCGTGGACCACTGGTGGTCCGTGAGGTCCGAAAGTTTGGCGACCGCTGCACTAAAACACACTAGCTCCTTCTTCCATTGCAATCAGGCTGTAGTTGGGCATGTGGCCTCCTAACTGATGAATGTATTTCCCAGCCTGCCCCTGCAGTTAGGTGAGGCCTCGTTTCTTAGCTTGCATTTTGGCCAATGGAAAATGGGCACTTTAGACCCAGGACTCTTAAGATAGCGGGTGTGCTTCTCCATTCTCTCTTTCCCAGCCAGTGGGTGTGGCCTGGTTTCATTCATGAGGTTACAACAAGGACCTAGGGGAAGGCAGAGCCACAAGATCGAAGGAATACAGCGGAACCACTACTGTCCTAGTACTCTACACCAGGGGTTGGCCAACTATAGCCTGTGGACCTGTTCTGTAAATAAAGTTTTATTGGAACATAGTCACACCCATTAATTTACATACTGTCTATGGCTGCTTTTGTGCTAAGACAGCCTATCTGAGTGTAATTGATGCATGTTATTTGTGGTAGTTACGTTCTATAAAGCTGCCACCAAAAATGAATAAGCAAATACTGAACCAGGTTAGGTCCCTGTGAGCCTCTGGTCACATCATTATTATCAATGGATCAATAAAAATCCTTGTTTTGTGTGTATTTCTGTTTAAAAAGGCCTACTGTCATATATATTCTTGATTCATTAACATTAAACACACAGTCAATAATACCGTAACTCAGACCTGAACAAAATAACACACACATGTTATCTGTAAGGCACATGAAGCCTTCTTGCACTTTGGAAAACTAGACAGCACTACACTTGAGGGCATTTTAAACAGCAAAATCACCAGCAAGAAGCACAAAATTATAAAAAATGTGGCACTAAATAGACCAAAAAAAGGACACTTGTTTACTATATAAGAACTGAAATAAGGCCTGGCTGGTGTTGTTCAGTGGTTGAGCATTGACCTATGAACCAGGAGGTCATGGTTTGATTCCCAATCAGGGCACATGCCTGGGCTGTGGGCTTGATTCCCAGTGTGGGATCTCTCTCATCAGTGATGTTTCTGTCTCTCTCTCCCTTCCTCTCTGAAATCAATAAAAATATATTTTTAAAAAAGAAAAATAACTAAAATAAGAAGGCAGAATACTACCTTGTTCAAACTTAGTGGGATCTGTAGGCCTCCAGTGACCACAATTTTTTATTGTTAATCCTCACCTGAGGATACTTTTTCCACTGTTTTTAGAGAGAGTGGGAGGAACAGCATGGGAGAGTGGAAGGGAGGGAGGAAGAGAAACATCGATGTGAGAGACACATTGATTGGTTGCTTTCAGCACCTGACCTAACTGGGGCTGGGGATCGAACCTGAAACCCAGGTGTATGCCCTTGACCGGGAATTGAACCCGTGACCCTTTGGTACGTGGATGGATGCTGTAACCACTGAACACCACCAGCCAGTGCTCAACTTTTTTACTGCTTTGAGTTTGTCTGTGACTTACTGCAAAAGCACTCTAAGTATTGATTTGGGGGTTACAAATACATTTTAACAAGTAGGCAAATTCACAAATACAGACCATGAATAATGAGGATCAACTGTAGTTTCAACAGAGACCATATGGCCCACAAAGCCTAAAATATTTACTATCTGAACCTTAGAAACAATGTCTGCCCATCCCTGCTCTAGCATGTTAGAAAAAAAACTTTTCTTGTTCTTAAAACCACTGATTTTGGGGGTTCCTGTTATAGCAGCTTACCATGTCCTAATACAGACTATAAAGTCTATTCTCGTCCCACTACACAGTGCCTTCTCATTTGACCATCTATTACTCTCTTTCAGAAGGAGACACCTATTTCCATCAACCTTTTTTTTTCCTACCAAGTAGGCTGATGTTTCTCAAGAGGTGGTATTAAAACCTCCTGCTTCAGCACGGTGTGTGTAGCTTGTTGAAAGCATCTGACTTGGCCCTGGCCCGGTAGCTCATTTAGTTAGAGCATCGTCCCAATATTCCAAGGTTGTGGATTCCCCCAGTCCGGGTACACACAACAATCAACCAATGATTGTATAAATAAGTGGAACAACAAATCAATGTTTCTCTCTCAATCAATCAATCAATAGAAAAAACCAAATTATTTGTTAAAAATACCACTCCCCAACCCCCCAAAACACACACACACACACACACACACACACACACACACACACACGTCCTACTGAATTACTCCAGGCAGGGGAGAATTCAACCCTCCATCGTAAAAAGCTCTACAAAGGATTCTTAATGCAGCCTTAACTGTGAGAAGCACTGAACTGATAGGAAGCTCAAGAACACTATTACCCTCTCTGTTTTTTAATTCTAACTGGAGAACATGTTTTAATTGATTCTGAGAGAGAGAGAGAGAGAGAGAGAGAGAGAGAGAGAGAGATCGCCGTGAGACAGGAACATTGACTGGTTGCTTCCCAAGGTGCCCAATCAAGGATGGAACCGCTGGGAGGTGACCTGAGGGACTGTAGCCGCTGGGAGGTGACCTGAGGGGACTGTAACCTCTCGGAGGTGACCTGAGGGACTGTAACCGCCGGGAGGGGACCTGAGGGGACTGTAACCTCTCGGAGGTGACCTGAGGGACTGTAACCGCCGGGAGGGGACCTGAGGGGACTGTAACCTCTCGGAGGTGACCTGAGGGACTGTAACCGCCGGGAGGGGACCTGAGGGGACTGTAACCTCTCGGAGGTGACCTGAGGGACTGTAGCCGCGGGGAAGTGACCTGAGGGACCGTAACCGCTGTAGCTCTGGGAGGTGCCCTGATAACATTGTAACCGCTGGGAGGTGACCTGGGGGACTGTGACCGCTGGGAGGTGACCTGAGGGACTGTAGCCTCTGGGAAGTGACCTGAGGGACCGTAACCGCTGTAGCTCTGGGAGGTGACCTGATAACATTGTAACCGCTGGGAGGTGACCTGAGGGGACTGTAACCGCTGGGAGGTGCCCTGAGGGACTGTAACCGCTGGGAGGTGCCCTGAGGGACTGTAACCGCTGGGAGGTGCCCTGAGGGACTGTAACCGCTGGGAGGTGCCCTGAGGGACTGTAACCGCTGGGAGGTGCCCTGAGGGACTGTAACCTGTGGGAGGTGACCTGAGGGACTGGAACCTCTGGGAGGTGACCTGAGGGGAATGTAGCCTTTGGGAGGTGACCTGAGGGACTGTAGCCGCTGGGAGGTGACCTGAGGGACTGTAACCGCTGGGAGGTGACCTGAGGGACTGTAACCGCTGGGAGGTGACCTGAGGGACTGTAACCGCTGGGAGGTGACCTGAGGGACTGTAACCGCTGGGAGGTGACCTGAGGGACTGTAACCGCTGGGAGGTGACCTGAGGGACTGTAACCGCTGGGAGGTGACCTGAGGGACTGTAACCGCTGGGAGGTGACCTGAGGGACTGTAACCGCTGGGAGGTGACCTGAGGGACTGTAACCGCTGGGAGGTGACCTGAGGGACTGTAGCCGCTGGGAGGTGACCTGAGGGGACTGTAGCCTCTGGGAGGTCACCTGAGGGACTGTAACACATCAGCAACAAGATGCACTAGAAGAGAAACCACCTGATTCGCAGCTTCTCCAACGCTTCAACTAGGCTCTCCTTGAACCCTCAGTTTCCTCGTCTGTAAAAATCTCACAGGTTTGTCCTGAGGATGAACTGAGGATGCAAACGAAGTAGCACGTAGCTGCTGCTATATCCATATGCATCTATTTTTATTTTTTAAATCCTCACCTGAGGATTTTAAAAACTTATTTGAGAACGAGAGAGAGAGAGAGAGAGAGAGAGAGAGAGAGAGAGAGTGAGAGAGAGAGAGAGAGCCACCCATGACACGCCCTGACGGAACCCACACCTTCTCTTGTAGGAGAGGACACTCCCGGCAACTGACCGACCCGCAAGGGCGTAGCAAGTTATTTGTAAGCCATTTGGGGACACAGCCACTCCACGATCCTCTACAAGTTCCCGCAGGTTCCCAACGCAAGTTTCGTTACAGGCTTCAGGCCCCAGAGGGAAAATGTCCCATCGCAGCAAAGTTAAGCCACTACTGACACACGAGACCGTGTGGACTCCCTAACCTGCAGGGGTTCCTCACTTGCAAGCCTCGACCTTTCCGTGCGCCCCCTCTGTGCCCGCCCCTCTGGGTCCTCAATGAAGGTCTCCCTGCAGGACCTCATTCCCTGTCCCGCCCCCTTCAGAGACCCGGTTCCCTCCGCGTCTCTTCCCTCCGGAATCCCCTCCCATCTCCGCTGCCCGCTGGCTCTCCAGCATCCGGTTCCTTCCTCAGGCCCCTCAGCGCCCGGTACTCACAGGGGCCTCCCAAGACCCTCGCGTCTCCCAAGCTCGCGGCGCCCTTACCCTCACGCCTCCCTAGGCCCCTCCTCCAACCTGCACCGGGCCGACCCACCACCCCGCCGCGGGGAGAGACAACGAAGGACGTGGCCCACCCCGCTTCATCCAGCGTCCTCCCCTCACCTCCAGAGCGACGCCCAGGTTCTCCCGCTTCTTTTTAGTCATGTTGCTCGCCGGGATCCCCCAGTCATCATTGGACGCGCCCATTCGCAGCACCACGCATGCGCAAGCACTCGTGCTCCCCCCTCATTGGCCACCAAGGCGGCGGGAGGTGGGGCTCCGGGCGGGCGCCATCTTGTTGAGGGGCGTGGCCAGCGCGGCGCCGCCATGTTTGTGCGGGGCAACCTCTAGTTTGGCCTTAGCCTGGGGCCGGGGGGCGGGTAGATGGCGTGGGGGCAATTGCCGCAGGCGGAGCTGCCCCTGGCCTTCCACATTCAAAACCCCTTTAGGGCACCCAGTGGCCTTTCCCACCTCTTCTTCCTGCCCATCATCCCCTTAGTGACCACCCTGCACACTTTGAGGCCAGCCTGCACTCCCCAGCCCCCATTTAAATCCTGTGCAACTTTCACGGCCCATCCTGAGGCACCGCTGCTCCAAAAGCCCTCTCTTGAGTTCCTTGGCCTTTTGGGATCTGATCACGACCTCCTGTTGTTATTCCTCCTTTTTGTCCTGTGTTATTTTGCCTACACACATCACGGAAAACCTGAGCAACGTCCTTCGTCCTGCCCCTCCTAACACCACGTTTCTGTGCATCCCCCCAGGCTTCCTGTCGGCGGGTGTTCTATTCTGTTGTCACTCTCTTGCGCAGACACTGCAGACCCAGCACTTTGAAATGTTCTGACTGCCCCCTGGTACAAATGCGCTTCTGTCCCATGGCCCAGCTACCCCGGAAACTGCCACCAACATTCCCAATAAGCCAGTGGTTCTCAACCTTCCTAATGCCGTGACCCTTTAATACAGCTCCTCAAGTTGTGGTGACCCCCAATTTCATTGTTACAAATTGAACATAATTAAAGCATAGTGATCAATCACAAAAACAATATGTAATCATATATGTGTTTTCCCATGGTCTTAGGCAACCCCTGTGAAAGGGTCGTTCGACCCCCAAAGGGATTGTGACCCACAGGTTGAGAACCGCTGCAATAAACAAACACCTTTACCACCCACAATGCACGCTCACATGTTCTATTCTAGCCTATTTTATATATATATTTTTTAAAAGTTGGTGGCAGGAGACCTATTAAGTTTATTTTATGACCCATTAATGGATATTGAGCTGCAATTTGTAAAACACTGTCATTTCCCTCTGTCCTCGAAATCACTATTTGTGAGGGTAGCAAATGCCACCAAGAGAATGCTGCCATTCTTGCGTTGGACATCACCTCCCAATAATGCTAAGGAAACATCTTCGCACACATCTCTCTGTCTTTCTGAAGTTTTTAAGATAAATGTGTAGAAGTGGAATCATTGGGTCAAAGAATATGAGGCTGGAATCGAAACTCCTTATTTTCTGACCAGTTATCTTTCTGGGGGAGCCTGTGGGTTCGGTGTGTGAATGTGTCCAGGTCTGTGTTCTCATCTTGATATAGTTGTTGAATGATGGCGCTGGAGGCGACCTGAGATCTCATCTCCGCTGGCCGCCTGCCTGAGGCCCACAGAGGAAAATCATAGTAAATTCTCTCTGAACAGTCAGCAGGCTGCAGAGCAGTTGTTTAGTGCAGAGCTTAGCTTAACACCCAGCACAGGAGAAACTTCCTCAAGATCGTTGTCTATCAACTGTCAATCAACAGCATTTATTGTCGGAACACTCTTCACAGCATTGGTTCCAACCCCAGAAAAACCAGACTCCGTGCTTCCCAATTATCACAGGCTCGGGCCCAGGGGAGGCGAGAAGAGGAGGGAAAACACTGTGTTCTTTTAGAAGTGGTTCCTTCGGCATGTGTTTGGCACCACAAAAAAGCCACGGCGGTGTGGTGAGCTTCCTGTCAGTGCTTTGTCTTTCTCCCCCGTTCCCCGTGAAATAGCGGGTGAGCTGTCATCCTTCTCCCTCAAGAGCCTCGGATTTTCCAAATCAGACTCGTTCCTGGTTCTCATAATGGGACCAATACTTGAAATGGGACTGGAATGAGAGCTCTAGTGGGTTGTGTGAAGCGGGGAGGGGGGTGGGGGGAGCTGTGGAATGAGACTGACCTGGATCCAGGTCTACCACTTGGTAGTGGCAGATTGGGGCCCAGGTACTTAAGTTGGCTGAGCCTCAGTTTCCAGGTCTGTAGAACAAAGCTGAGGGGCCAGGCTTGTAGGGCTGCTGTGAGAACCACTAAACGTTCAGTGCTGTGGCTTGTGAGTGACCAGGGGAGATTCAGCCGGACTGATGGGCTCGCTGCCAGTTTTTCATTATAGGGTTTCGCTTAGCAATTGTCGTCATTCTTATTTTGATTATTGTTTTGATATTGGTTTCTATCGGTTTTGACACTACGGTACAGTAGCTGTTGTTAGGAGTTAGGGACAAATGCTTGGATTGTTTCCTGTTATCAAGGGCTCTTAGTTCACGGCAAAAGGCAGCCCCCAGCATACACAGTGTCTCTCCTTAGAAAGGAGATGCCCTTTCCACCTCTACTGGTCCCTCCTGCTGAGACCATCAATCATGGGTTTCCTGTGCCCAGACGTGACTGACGGTGCTGACCCCTGTGGTGCTGGGGGAAGCTGAAAGAGCCCAGGTAACCTGCAGAGGTCCTTTCATCCCCGTACATACAGTGACCGGCTTTGATTTCCACGGGGACTGTTTGCTGAGCCTGCTGCAGCTCGGCCTGGCTTTGTGCTGGAAATTCTGCCCACGCACAGATGGATTACTGTGGCCCAGCTGTCTGTTTGTCTGTCTGTCTTTGTTCTTTAGTGAGCTGTGGTTCTGAACTTTCTATTTAGGAGTTTTTGGGGTGAAGTGTTTATGGGAAATAGAGCCAGCACTACATTGGCAGACAGACTGGGTTTATTCCTGGGTGGGCCAGGTTCTCACTATGACCTTGGGCAGGTCAAGTCTCATTGGCTGTCCATTTCCTTGTCTGTGAAATGGACGCATGGGGGCAGAACTCGTCGGCTTCGGCACCCTCACATTCTGTTTTTGATGATTTTGTTATTTGTGAAGTGCCCAGACATAAAGCACCCTTGTTGGCTATAAGGTAAACATATAAAATAAGAACAATCATTACTCTCAAGATATCTTCAATCTAGTTAGAGAGACAGACTGACAACATGAAATAGTGAATACCAGACATCATATAATTAAATGCCAGCTGTCTGTACTTACTGTGGATGAATTAGGAGCTCAGGAAAAAGAGAATGCTGCAGGTTTTGTTGAGGCCTGAAGGATAATGGAGATTGGATCAGGTGCAGATGGGGGAGAGAGCACCCCAGATGGGAACCCAGAGGGTTTCCCGTGCCTACAGGAGCCTCCCTTTTCAACTACAGCACTGTGCAGGCTAGCCATAGCCCTGGCACATCCCTCATGAAGACCCTTGGGTCAGTTATTCCATCCCTTGGCCCACCCTGAGCCTGCCTGACCGGTGGGGTCCAGACCTGGACTCCCACTGCCACCCTGAGGGCTCCTTCTCAGAGCAGGAGTTGGGGAGAGTGGGATCATTCACTGTCAGAAACATTTCGTGCAAGAAATGAAGAATTTCATAGGTGGTTAAAATATAGTGGAGGCTGATTTATGTCTGAATTTTGTTCCAGGGCAGCAGCTTATAGTCCAAGTTCTGAGGCAAAGGCAGTGTCTTTATGGCTTGCTTGGATCAGTTTTATGTCTTGGTGATTTTTATGTTTCAGCGTCGCCAAGATGCTCAAACTTTTTGTCCCATACCCCACTGGGGACCTCAGGTACCACTTCTGGAACTCCAACTCATTTTACCATAAAAAGAAAAGAAAGCAGAAGAGATGACAGGAATGTTTTTGCTTGACATTTAATTGGTATCCAGTTTTTAGCTAAATTAAATCAAATCAAATCATAAATAGATGATTTGCGACCCTGAAGTACATGTCAGATGACATCATGAAAACAAAAGGACAGGATTCTAAATAGTGTTGAATAGGAATATTCATAATATCTTGGTATCCATACTGTCTTCTTTGAGGAGAAGAGATTTTTATTAAACATTAGTTTTATTAAACATTTACTAAACTAGACAAGCTCTGCTGGTACGTTTTTACCTTATGGCTACAGTGCCTTTTGTAACTGATCACGCCTCCCACTTCTTTGTTCATGAGGAAGCTCAGATCTGAACTTCTGGAATTTTGGGCGTAGGCTTCCATGTGCTAGCATTTTCCCTGGCTTTATTTTGGTTTTCTACCCTTGTTTTCCCTTTGCTCTATCGCTTTATTTTTATCTCACTGTATTGTGTGCATTTTGGTGAACTACCTCAAATCCTTTTTTGGGAACACACAAGAGCATAATAAATCAATAAGTACATCCTGTGTTTGTAAATATGGCACTTTGTTCTTTTCAGAGCGATTTTCGCATCCACTAGCGCTGTGGGTCCTCACACAGCTCTGCAAGGGGAGTCGGGCAGACCCAATCACCCCCATTTTACAGACAAGGAAACTGAGGTACCTCCAAGCATGAAGTGGCTTACAGAGGAGGAGAGACCCACCCCTCCATCTACATAGAAGACTGCCTGAACCCCTCTGAAGAAGGAGACAGGAACATGAAACTAACAGCCCATTAGATGTCTTTTTATTAGCAGATGTAGACTGACAAGGAGGAAGCTAAGGTTGGGGTCACCAGTTAGAGAGGACGCAAATTGGGGTGACCACTGGCTTCAGAGATTCCTCCAGAATGCATATCTGTGTTGCCATCTCTGCCTGTCTTGTCTAACCCATCTCACTGATCACATGGGTGGGTGGCATGTGATCCAAGCTGGGCAGCCAATCGCAGGGCCACACTCTGATTGTCTCAGAGGCCAGGACGTGAGCTGCGCCAATAGGAGTTCTTCACTGAGATTTTTAATGTCTAGCTGGGAAATGGAGCTCTGGTCACAGGGCTGTTGGGATGTGATCCTGGAGCAGCCGGCAGCCATGCTCCCTTCCCTGAGGAGGTGCTCCCGTGGGTCGTGAGAGAGGCATGCGGCACACATGGGCAGCAGCTGGGAGATGAGAGGGGGTGCCCTACTGATGTTTGGAGCTCAGGTTGCAGGTGCCCAACTCTTGCCCCTC